AACATTTAAATTAAAATTACTTAAATAATAATTAACTATGCCTCGCAGAAAAGTAGTTCGAACAGTTGAAGAAGAAGAAAAATTTTAACGTAATAAACGAGAAAGAAAAGCAAAATCTCAGGCTAAAAGACGAGAAGCAAAACGATTGATAATTAAGAAAGATTGCCTACCTTCATCAAATATAAGTCAGATTTATCCAAATATAACCCAAGCTTCTACGAGTTTTTCGAAAATAGTAATAGATTCTCATATTTCTTCCAATTCATTTGAAAATGTAATACATGAAATAAATGAAACACCTTTTACCATATCACAAGCAATTAATACATCAACTATTACTAATTTTTCTACAACAGAAAATAGTAATTTTTCTACAATAGAAAATAGTAATAAAGTTATTACGACAAATGATAGTATAAATTGGTTTAATGTTGATAATGATATTGAAATATCTCAGAATACTTATAATATAACTGAGGATACCTCACTAAATAACAATATTATTTCTTCAATACCTAGCACATCAAATAGATTAATGAATTTAAATAATAATACATTTGAAGATTTAATTATTTCACATGAAGTGCCATCACAATGTAATGTAATAAATGATAAAATAATAGATTCAAAATCAATTCCTTCTAATATAATTGATAAAAATAGAAAAGTAAAGTGGATTGAAAGAACACGAGCTTTAAGAAAAGGATACACGGATGTTAATACATCTCACATTATTCAATTAGAAAATATTATAGAACATTACATAGGAGAAATGAATGTATGTTGTGAACATTGTGGTGCAAAACATTTTAATTCCGAAAAAGTAGCTAATAAAGGTAATTCGTTTAATGATTGTTGTAGTCATGGGTCTGTTAAATTAAATCCTTTACCTCAACCTCCACATGAACTTTATGAATTATTTACTGGAAATCATCCAAATTCAAATCATTTTTATAATCGTATTCGTGGATATAATAACATTTTTTCATTCGCATCTTTTAATGCAAATTTGTCAGACTTTAGCGCACAAAGACGTGGACCATATTGTTTTAAAATTCAAGGACAAATTTATTATCAAATCAATACTGCGTTATATCCCGCACTTAACGAAACTCCAAGCTATGGTCAACTCTTTATCGTAGATAATAATGAAGCGACAGAGTGTCGATTACATCGAAATTCGAATCTTGATAAAGAAATTTTACGTTCAATAGATAATGTAATGCGTACGAATAACATTTTTGCAAAATCTTATCGAATGATGCACGAAGAAATTCAAGTGCAAACGACTGAAAATAACAGTATACTTGATTTACAATTAGGATTTTTAACAAAAAGAGGCATTGATCGTGGTCGGTACAATGTTCAAAAGGTAAATGAAGTTGCAGCTGTCTTTTCGACTACGGCAGATGGCGAAATTCCAGAAACTTACGTGACAATTTATAATAAATGTAACAAGACACTACAACAAGTCAGTATAATGGATCCAAATGTAGAACCATGGATTTATCCATTGTACTATCCGTACGGTACTCAAGGTTGGCATGGTAATTTACGACGCAAAGATAGTAATAAACGAATAAGTAGAGCTGCATACGTAAAATATCGAATAGCTATACGTGATAATTTTAATATTTTTGTCATGGGAAGACGATTATTTCAGCAGTGGCTTGTAGATAGTTATGTTAAAATTGAGAAGGACCGAATTAATTATTGTAAACAGAATCAAAAACAATTACGAGCTGAGACATATCAAGGATTAATTGATTATTTAGCAAACGTTGCCAATAATAGCGACGCTCACATTGGAAAAATGGTTATACTTCCATCAACATTTGTAGGTTCACCGCGTAATATGTTGCAACATTATCAAGATGCGATGGCTATTGTTCGAAAGTATGGAAAACCAGATATTTTTATTACTATGACTTGTAATCCAAATTGGCGCGAAATTAGAGAGAATTTACTTCCGGGTCAACAACCTGCAGATAGGCCAGATATATGTGCTCGTGTATTTAATATAAAGAAGGATTATTTGATTGATGTTATCGTTAGACAAAAATTTTTTGGTGAAGTTCTGGCATATGTTTACGTAATAGAATTTCAAAAACGTGGATTACCACACATACATTTGTTGATTACATTAAAACGAAACTGTAAAATAGTAAATCCTGAAACAGTTGATAGATTTATCTCTGCGAAAATTCCTGATCCTAATGAAAATGAAAGTTTACACAATGTTGTTATGAAACATATGATTCATGGGCCATGTGGAGATTGGTGTCTAATAAATGATAAATGTTCGAAACATTTTCCAAAACCATTTCGACCTGAGACGACTATGGATGAAGATGGTTATCCGCAATATCGTCGAAGAAATAATGGATTGCTATATGAAAGACCTGGGCGGTATGTTGTTGATAATCAATATGTTGTTCCATTTAATCCAATGCTCTTGCTTTTATTTAATAGCCATATTAATGTTGAAATAGTTACAAGCATACGATCTGTAAAATATTTGTATAAATATATTTATAAAGGTCATGACGCTGCATCTGTAATCATTGGAAAGAATATAGATAAAACAATAATTCATGACGAAATTCAAGATTTTATCGAAGCTCGTTATGTCGGGCCCGTGGAAGCATGTTGGCGCATTTTAAGCAAATCTTTGCAAGAAAAAAGTTACGCTATATTTCGTTTACCGGTTCATTTACCAAACGAACATAATGTAATAATCGATGAAAACGTTAATAATGATGCGATAAGATCTGCTGTAGAACGAGTAACAATGTTGTTAGATTATTTTGAGTTAAATTTTCGAGATGAGGAAGCAAAACAATATTTATATAGCGATATTCCATCTCATTATGTATTTAAAAAAGTTACAATTAATGGCAGAACTGTTAATCGTTGGGAAAAACGTCAAAGATACTTTAATTGTATTGGTCGTATGTATTCCGTCAGTCCGTCTCAGATAGAATTGTTTCATTTACGTATACTTTTATTACATGTTAGAGGAGCTACGAGTTTTCAAGAATTAAGAACAGTCAATAACGAAGTACATGAAACTTTCAGTGCCGCATGTTTAGCATTAGGACTCATAGAAGATGATGAAGAATGGTATCGTGCAATGAACGAAGCAAAAGTTTGGATGATGCCAAGACGACTTCGTAACTTGTTCGTACGAATTTTGATTCATTGTCAACCTGTTTATCCGAAAAAGTTATGGGACGAGTTTAAAAAAGATATGTCCGAAGATTATATAAGACGATTTGGACTTATAATGGGAATAAAGAAAGCTTACAATTATATTGACAATTTGCTTCAAATAGAAGGATCTAATATTACTAATTTTCCTGAAATGGAACAAGAAACAGAGGAACAAGTAATAATAGACAATGAAGAACAGATTGAGGAGGATACATTGATAGGTATACGACAATATGAACAATTAAGTGTTGAACAAAAACAAATTGTTGATATTATTTTAGAAGCAACAATAAATAACAATAATACTTACAATAATACTTGTTTTTATATTGATGGTCCAGGTGGTACCGGTAAAACTTTTATTTATACAACATTGTATTATTTACTTAAAAGCAGAGGAAAAGTAGTAAGTACCATGGCATTTACTGGTATTGCTGCGACATTACTTCCAAATGGAAAAACAATACACAAAGTTTTTGGATTACCTGTACCTCTTTTTGCCGATTCTACATCGAACATTAAAGTTCAGTCTAAAGAAGCTGAAAATTTAAAACTTGTGGATGTTTTTGTTGTAGATGAAGCTCCTATGGCACCACGTTATGTATTAGAAATAATGGATCGCACATTACGCGATATAATGCAAAATGATTTATATTTCGGTGGTAAAATCGTTCTTCTTGGTGGAGATTTTAGACAATTATTACCTATAAAACAAGGAGCTACGCGTTGTGAAATTATAAATTTATCGATAAAATTTAGTACTCTATGGAAACAATTTAAAACATTTTCATTGACACAAAATATGAGAATTTTACCTCAAGAAAAAGAATTTGCACAATTTTTATTAAATTTAGGTAACGGATCTTTAAATGATCACTCGGATAATATTCATATTCCAGAAAAATGTGTAGCAAACGTTAACTCTGATATAATAAAAGATATGTATGGAGACATTATAACACATAAGCGATATAAAACTATGGCTAATCACGTTATATTATCTGCAAGAAATGTCGATGTTGATGAAATAAACGAAAAAGTAGTAAGTTTGTTGGATGAAACAACAGAGAGAGTTTATACAAGTGTAGATACTCTTGAAACGACTGGAGATAATGAAGATATACATGAAATAATTTTGACAGAATATCTTAACTCTTTAAACCCAACGTGTCTCCCACCGCATGAATTACGTTTGAGAAAATACACTATTGTCATACTTATTAGAAATCTTAGTATCAATGAAAGTTTATGCAATGGTACCAGATTATTAGTTCTAGATTTAGATAATAACTTATTGCGTTGCGAAATTTTGACAGGTAACAAGACTGGAGAAATTATCTTTCTTAATCGTATCACTTTATATTGCGAAAATGTATATCCATTCACTTTCAAAAGAAAACAATTTCCGGTAAAATTAGCATTTGCTATGACTATAAATAAATTGCAAGGTCAGACCTTTGACAAAATTGCAGTAGATCTTCGAAAAGATGTTTTTAATCATGGACAATTGTATGTTGCATTTTCGCGAGGTCGTTCTTGGGATTCGTTAAAAGTTTATTTAAATAATGATAATTTATCTAACGAAGTAAAAAATTATGTTTATAAAGAAATACTTGATTAATAAAACGTAATGAATAACAAATAAGTAATAATATATGACAAATTAATGCAAAAAAATGGCAGAGTAAATAAAAATTCAAATAATAAATAATTATGAAATTAAATATAACTTTTATACATATATGTATATATATATAACTTTTCTAATTTCTTCTCAGATTAAATTTGAAGATAGTTCTCGTATCTAGAAATATATATCAAATAAGTCTTAACAAAATTCTAACTTTTGAATAAGTATTCTTAGTATGATAAAAGAAATACTTTATGTTGTATTTAATTATTAGTGAAAACATATAAATAAGAAAATGCTATTTCCGAAAAAAATAATACAAGGAAGAAAAAAATATAAAAAATATAAAAAATATAAATTTATAATAATAAATCGATTTTAACTTTGATTAAAATTGGTTCTGATTTGAATTAAAATTAACTTAAACTTTTTTGAAATTGATTTTGATTTTTTAAATTGACTTTAATCTAAATGATTTTATTGAAATAGATTTTAAATTTGAATTATTTAATTAAAATTAACTTTTATTTAGATATTAAAGTAAAATTAGTTTTGTTTAGATTGTTATTAGATTAAAATTGATTTTAATTTTAATTATTGAATTTAATTTAACTTTAATTTTGACTTGGATTGAAGCTAATCTTAACCTGAATTGAAATTGGCTTTGACGTGAATTATTCTGTTTAATTTGGATTAAAATTAACTTTTAACTTGGCTAGAAGTTAATTTTCATTAAGATTATTGGATGAAAATTTAATTTGACTTGAATTAATTAATTTAATTAAAAGTGGCAATAATTTGAATTATTAAAACAGAATAAATGTAAATTTACAAAAATTATATTATTTTTGTATTATTAATTTTAATTAAACTTTACTACAAATATAAAATTTTTAACAATAAATAATAATTAGACTATTTTTTTTATAATTTTCACTTTAATTTTATAATTTATAATAGTTATTTCAGATATAATTAGCATTCGAGCAATTCATCGAAACATTGCTATTCAGTAATCGCACATTTATATATAATCTTTTATTGTGCTTCTACCTAGGCCATTCCTAATAAGAGTGAATAATGTATACAGTTCTTTTGCTCATCTAACAAGTAACACTACTCAAGTGTCACAGGCCATTTTTTTTGAAATTGTATACACATGTAGAACTTCGAAAAATATTTTTGTCGTATTTTTTTTATTTTTGCTTATATGAAGCGTTTTAAGAGTAGGGACTATCCTTGAAATATTAACCTTCTCAATCCTATATATGTTATCCTAAATGGTTTTTGCACCAGAATACTATCTCTAGGAATTTTTAAGGTTTTCTGGTTCGTATTTTTACAACAAATCGACGTGCATGGCCTAAAGAATTGTTATACATAGAATTGAGAAGGTTAATATTTCGGGGGTAGTTTCTACTCTAAACGCTTCATAAGCAAAAATTAAAAAACACGACACAAATATTTTTCGAAGTTTTACATGTGTGCATAGTTTCAAAAAAATCGGCGTATGACATTTGGGTAGTGTTACTTGTATAGTTACAACCCGAGGCCCTTTAACCGTTGATATGTCGATGGTCCACCAGGAAACATGGCGGAAAATCGGAAACCAAAAGATCAAAGGTGCCGACAGAGAGTGAACATACTGATTAAGCCCCTTGCACAAATGCCAGGCAACAGGGCAATAGGAACAGGAAATAACCAAAAAATCGTTACAATTACAACCTAAAAAATTTGAATGCTATGACTGGTTAACAACAAGCAATAGGCACAAAGTTTCCAACGTGACGGAATGTATCATTGTTTATACTGCATTTATACATGATTTCTGATTTCTATTCCTTGTTTCTATTGTCTGTTGCTTGACATTGTGCAAGGGGCTTTATACTGTGCCCCGGGTTCCCTCCATGACAATTTGCGCGTTTAGCAGATACAATTGTTGAGTTCAACACTCTTCTTATCAACACTCTGCGTTGATTGGAGTGAAGGGAAAACAGGAAGGGTTTTGAAAAAAGATAAAAGAGTGGGATGTCGTGAGGTTGGTGGAGACGTAGCTGGAACAGGAGGAATGGGAGAAGATGAAGAATAGGGTGCCAAAGAAATTCAACAGGGTGTAAAGAAAGAAAGAGTTGGAAGAAAAGGAAGAGCAATACGTGGAATAATGATACGAGTCAGAAAAGGGTTAGAAAAGGAAGAAGAATGGGAGGAGAAGGAGGGTTCAATGATTAGAAAAGTAAGATGGAAGAAGGAGAAATGGAGATTGGCAACAGTTTACGTAAGCGGCAACTTGGACAAGATCATGGGTAAGATAAAATCGGTGAAAGAGGAGAAGGGAGAGAGGAGAGATGGATAGTGGTGGGCGATTTCAATGCGAGAACAGGGGAGAAAGGAGCGCTGGAGGATGGAGAAGAGGGAGTTGAAAGAAAATCAAAAGATAAAATAATAAATAGGTAGGGGGAAGGGCTGATTAGATGGGTGGAAGAGGAAGGATGGGAAATTATGAACGGAGCAAAGGAGGGAGATGAGAAGGGGGAGGTGACTTTTACAGGAAGAAGGGGGAAACAGTGATCATGCAATTACGCAATAGGAGATAGAAAAGCTTGGGAAAGAGTGACAAGATTGGATATGGGGTGTGAGGTAGATTCGGATCACCAATCCGTAGCAGTACGGGTGGACAAAAGGGGGGGGTTGGTGAGAGGAGAGGGACAATAGCGGAGGGAGAGAGGTGGGTGAAAAAGACGGATTGGTCGAAAGAAGTAAGAGAGGAGTTTAGAAGAAGGACGGAGGAGGTAGAAATAGGTAGGGAGACAATAGATAAAGAGGAAGATGGAAGTAAGGGTGAGAAGAGTAAAAAGAGGGGCAGAAGAAAAGGGAGTATGGTGGGATGGGGATGTAGGAAGAAGAGGGAGAAGGTAGAAAAGTTATTAAGAGACTGGAAAAGAGGAAGAAAACACAAAGATCATAAGAGAAGAAAGAAGGAGTATAAGGAAATGTGTGAGAAAAAATGTAGAAAAAAGAAAAATCTGCTGAAAGAGGCAAGAGAGGCGAGAACAGAGAAGCAGGTGTGGGAAGTAATAAACAAAGAAAGGAGAAGAAAGGTAGAAATTAATAAAGAGATAACATTAGAGGAGTGGGATAAATACTTTAGGGAGATGTTAGAAGGAACGGAATACAAACGAAGGCTAGGAAAAGGAGTGGAGGGAGAGCAGGGGTTGGAGGGGAAAGTGGAGAAAGAGAAGAAGATAAAATGGGAGAAAGTAGAGAGTGTTGAAAGGGCTGAAAAAAGGTAAAGCGGCGGGAGAAGACGAGGTAGGAAATGAAGTGTGGAGTTATGGGGGAAGTGGTTTAAGAAAAACG